TTTTATTGATGACAGTTTTCTTGAAATCATTGTCATATAACCACTGGGTATCAAAAATCACTCAATTAAAAAATTTAGAATTCAACATCTATTTTGCAAGTTAGGCTGACAGAATTATCTTCAAGGGTCACATCTTATTATACATATTCTTTCTGAATTATGCTGCTCAATGTAACATAGCAGGCACCAATACAATCTAACACTCACTGTAACACTTTCCCAACACTTAGAGAAAAAGAAAAGTGCATTTTTAGAAATTCTTGTATTTATTTTTCCCACAAAGTTTTCACAACACAAATAATTGCATTAATATTTATGTTAGCTTTATTATATACATAAAAACACTGCGGGTGGGTGGAGTAAGAGAAACAAATTCCTGACAAGTATTGTGGACAGGATGGAGCGGATCTCTGCAACTCACACCAGCATCCCCTCCATGTCCTCCACCTCTAAGCCACTGTGCTGGGGGTGCAAGTCTTCTTGAGAATCACTGATGGAGACCATGGTGCTGGGCTGTAGAGGGGGACAATGGGGCAAGGGGGGGTCTCTCGGCCGCCACTGGATCAGTCCGAATTAGGCTTCCTCCCTGCCACTCCTCTTGGAGCAACGCTGCATCTAATGTCTAGGCAGGAAGGGAAAACCAAACCACCACCACCACCATAAGCCCAGCGGAACCCCAGAGTGAACAAAAAAGACCTCCTAAAAGCTCCCAGCCTTGGCACCTGGAAACAAGTCAAATGGGAGGTCCTCACCTGGGGTGCAGCTGAGGGGTGTGAGGTAGAGATGCCCGGCATTGGTGCAGTGTAACCCCAGGCTGGTGGTCCCTGGGTCACCTGTGGCCTGTTCCCTCGAGAGGGGCTGAGCTGGATGATCTGCAATTCTGGGAATTCTGTATTTGTCACCAGAAAATAATCTGGCCTGAAGATGTGACAATAATAACTTAAATATTTTGAGGGTAAGCATGAGATTTCTTCCTTCTCCCTGCACTGGACACCCACCCCACAGCCTCTGACACCTTCCCCCCAAGACCCAGCACACTACAGGATGCAACCATGGTCCCCAAAGTGGGTTTGCAAGACATTAATCCAGTTCACCAGTCCTAAGCGGCTGCTCCACAATGCCCTCGAAGGGTCTGCAGGAGGGAAGCAAGGGAAGAACCACTGACAGAAAATGTTCATGGAAAAGCTTTGTGAAGATCCAGGTTCCCATAATAGTATCCGCTGAAATGAGCATCAGGTGCTTCTCACTCAGAGCAACTAACTGTTCCAACTGAAAAGCTATCATTATTTTATAACCAAAGTATATTTTTATACTGGGGCTTGCTCCATTACGGGAGAAACAACAGTATGAGCAATTCCTCATGCCAACTCAAAATACCTCTGCGTGCAAACACTCCACCATTTAGACCACACCACCACCTAAGAAAGAAATTGTAGGATGCCTCAGCACATTCCCTAGATAGTTCTGTCATCAACTCAAAAAGCACCCCTACACCCAACCATCCTACAGAGCAGATGTTCTTACCTTCCTGCAGACACACACATCTTTGCTGTTATTTTCTTCTATTGCCTTTTCCTCTTAAATCCAACTCCTGTGCTCCAGGTTCTAAAAGGACACTGTCTTGGCTAGACGAAATTTGCATGGTGTCAGGCAGGACACACTTTTTTTTTGTACAGCAAGGCCAAGGGAAGCAAGGGACTACTACATATTTGCATAGAGCTTTGTGATTTGCCAACCACCCACACATCCATGATCTCATCCAGCCTCATGACTACTCAGTGAGGTAAACCTGCTCCTCCCATCCTCAAAATATGCCTACCTCCTAGGACTGTTTCGGGGTGGCACATAGTAAGTGCACAGTAAGTGCTAGCTAGTAGCCATTAGACACAGCAAAATATATCTTTTATTGAAGTATAGTTGATTTACAATATAGCAAATATTACCTTACTCATTTTGTTAGTGAGAAACTGAGGCTCAGAGGTTGGACAGCTGATTCCAGGCAACAGTCTCTTGGGACTGGGAGCAAGCTAGGAAGGTTGAAAGCCTAGTGCAGGGTTCTTTGCAACACTGTATCAATATAGACCCTAATCGTTCAAAGCTTTTCAGCTACACATTTCCATGTAGCCACACTGATGACAGGAAGGGAGCCCAAAGTCCTGATTCTGTCCCCAGTTCTCTGCTGGCTGCATATTCAGAGCTTTAGGCCCTGGACCTTTGTGTTGCCTTCTCCATAATGAAGGCAGGCTTACTTTTTCTTTTTTATTTTTTTTTTTAAACCAAACAATGGAATGTCAAGCTTCCAGATGAAAGGCTCTATTACAAGTACAAAGTATCATTTAATTACACTGCAGCTCCAGTTATCTGCTTCCCAGCTCCTAACTCCCACTGGGCAGATTCTGAAACAGCACAGGAGATTATGTCAAGAGGGGAGAACAGGAGAAACATTCTCTCCCTGAACTTTGTTAAATGGAAGAGAGAAACAGAATGAAAAGAAAGGCCCATTTTCCAAGGAGGGGGCTGGGGCAATGATCTTTCTGTTAAGCGGACCTGCATAAGAATCTATAGATTATTTAACACCGGGGGTGGCTGTGGAAGGAAATAAAGGAATCTTTGTGCAATGCCAGCCACAGTTCCCTCGCGTTTTCCCCCCGCAGTCAGGCATTTAACCCAACTCTTTAAATCATCAAGCTCTAATGCACCCCATCTGTGCACTGGTTGCAGCCAGTGAAACTGAAGCCTGTGCTGACTCTGGCTTGGCCTTATAAATGAGACTTCCTGCCCCCAAAGAGGCAGGAAGGACAGGAGGCCAACAAAGTCTATTTTGCTCACCACTTGTCTTCTCCCAAGGCTCAAGCTCCATCCACTTACCATTTACTGAGCTCTTGCCATAGATCAGATCCTGACCCAGAGACACAAAGCTAGTAGGACATGGCCCAGGTAGAAAACCTCCTGGGATAGGAAGAGGGGAAGAAAAAGGGCTGCTCTTGGTGGAGGCACTGAGGCCTGAAACACCTTGTCTGCATTCAGTGGGTGCTGCTTCGTTCCAAGTGGTTTCGAACACAAAGCAAAGAACTGGCAGGAGACCTAATCCAGAAGCTAAACTCTGCCAAATTGTCCAAGGCCCTACATACCAGGCCAAAGAGATAAGACATCAATTTTGAAGGCCATTGTCATCTCCAAATGGTCACTTCTGCCCATCTTACAAGGCCCAGCTCGAATGCCACCTCTCCTGGAAATCCTTCTTGAATACACTTAATTGCTCGCTCTTTTTTGAGCCTCCAATTTCAGTTCATGGACAACTTGTATGAGTCTCAACTTCTCCATTCACATAAAATATGACTAACATCACATACCTTAAAGACTTCTTATGAGGATTCAGTGACAGAACACTTACGAAGTGTCAAATAGCAGTTTTTAGTCATAAAAAGAGCTAAAATACACTTTGTTACTTCAATTTCTTACAATACTTAGCAGTTCTTCCTGGTATTAAAAAGATGTCTTGGCTTTCACTTTCTCTGGAGACGTCCAGAAGAAACAGGACAATTCACATTTCCCCTCCAAGCTTGCAGGCCCCCTTCCTAAAGCAAAGAGCACTGTTCTCTTCCCCGACTGACACAGCCCCTCTACATCCAAACTTCCAAACTGAAGGGGTTCCCAAAAGATTCAAGAGGAATCAGAGACGAGATGAGTTAATTGACAGAAGACGAAGCAATACACTGGCTGGAATATAAATAGCATAAAGGGGCGTGATTAGCAGAAACCTACAAAAGGGAAAGTGGGCGAGAGACCAGGACACTGAAGGCTCCAGGGCTCAAGCTCTGCAGTCACCCTGGGCCCTGAAACAGGCCTAGAAGGAGTGTCCTGTCCTCAGTCCTGACTTGAGAATCCCCATGCCCAGAGACAAGGCTGTGCAAGCGGTCTTCTTCACTCCTTGCCATGCCGGCCAGCTGGACAGCACCGTTCCAAACCAGCTGGCGCTAGCAAGCCGGAGGCAGGGAGAGTGGTGCCACCTTTCCTAGCAGTTCTTGAAAACAGATCAAGAATGCTTAAAGAAAATATTTTTTGACTTAGTCTGGGTCTGCTTAAAGGTTTGTTTGTTCCTTTTTTTTTACTTTAATGGCATGAATTCCAGGTTCTGAGGAAGGACACTTTTTAAGGGGGGAAGTCCCCCATGACCTTCCTCCTTTCTATGCAGCCTAGTAAAACCTGTTTCTCCTCCCCTGGGAGTTTAGAGCCAGGAGGGAGGAATTCCCCTGAGAATGCTGCCTGAAGGAGCCAGTTCCTGGATTATGCAACTGGGGTGTTGGGCTTGTTTATTTACTAGTAATCGCTCTGCCCCAAACTTTAGGAAGCAGTTGCCAGGGATCCTCAAGGGGAATTGGGTACAATTCTTTCTTCTGACTATGATCAAACATCATACCACATTTCCTCAGGTAGAAGCCCCCTAAGGGTCCCCACTGGCCAGTGGGGCAGCTCTTCTCCAAGCCACTTTGGCCTTCCCAGGGACCCCCCATTTCAGTGATTCAGCAGTATGGTGACCTTCCTGGGGGCTTGGGAGGCAATATCCTCTCTCATTTCAGCTAATATTCCCCTCCTACAAGAGATCCTGCCTGTGACGACCTTTCTCAGAACTCACTCTCCGGGCAGGCAGCCCTCTGTGTGGCGTTCATCTGCTCACTTACGCCAAGCGAGCCTGGTAAATGTTCAGTCAGCGTTCACCACCTACCTTCCGGTCTGGGAGCCATCAGCCCCGCCCCCACAGCTGCCAAAAGGGATGGTATCCAATTTCCAATATTACAAGTTAAATTAGTACACTCTCCCTCCACCTCAGAGTTATTTCTCAATTGAGTGAGACAGCCATGGGGGTCATCCCTCCCTGTACAAGAGATGGAATACAAATATCCTGGGCTCCCTTGGGTGAGCTTGTAAACCTCTTGCAACCTTAGGAGCCAGAAATGCTTTCCTCTGAGGTAGGCAAGAGAGGCCTGCGGGGAATGTACCTTGGAAATGAGTTCATCATGATTGGCCAAGTGGGCCCTGCAGTGGATGCAGCTATAAGTCCGATGGCAGGAGGGCAGATATGCCTGGAAGGTCTTGGATCGCGTCATCTTCACCATTGGTGCTGCTGAGCGTGGGGCAAACTCCGGGGTGGCCCACGAGGCACCCGCACAGGATGGGTCGCACGGGAAGCACCGGAAGACACAGGTGAAGGCCGTGGTTTGGCAGGAGGTGGGTGTGGGGCAGGCTCCACACACTGGTGATGTCTTCAGAGGAGGAGCACTCAAGCAGAGGTCTAGAGCTGGTTCTCAGCAGCCTGCAGAGCTAAGATAAGGGGAATATCATTAGCTGATGAGGCTGGGCTTCCTGCAAAGCAAGCACAGTCCAACTGTCACCCAAGAGAGAGGGCAACATTTACAGGATAAAATGACCCCTTTCGCAGTTTCTTGCACTGTGCCAAGAACCCTGAATAACAAGAATGAAACCCTTGGAGATCCAGTAGTGTTGCTTTTCTAGAGTTGGGAATTCAGTACCAGCTCACAGCTTTCAGTAGTTACCCTAGATGCCCTCCACTGGCACCCAGCGAACTGGCATGATCACCATCCCAGGGAGCCCTAGAAATGGCCAGCCCAGAAAATGGGCTACCCAAGCCCCAGGGAAAGGACTCCTAAGAGCTCCCCTTCTTCCAAGCCAACCAAGATAAATGGCTAAAGGAAAAAGAGAAATTCTGTCTCTAGAGATTCACTGAATCAATAGTCAGACACGGATTCCTTATCTGTTTCCAGATGGGAGCCCTCCACTTGAAATGAAACCACCACCTACACAGGAACAACCCCAACACCATGCTTTGCTTATGGACTAAGCATGGGATAAAAAGGATCAAGTCCCCAGTGAGCAGAGTCCCTCGTGCCTAGTCTGCTCTTTCGGGAGATGTGTGATTCCCTTTGCAATAACCTGCCCAGAAGTAGATGCTTGGTACTTTTTGGAAGGGGTATCGGGGGAAGCAAGGGAGTGAAGAAACTAACGACAAAATCAGATTCCTGCATCTAAAATGCACAACAGTGAATTTTACCAGAATTTCTCCTCACCCTCAAACTTCCCATAACTCATTCCACAGAACTGAACACTCTCATGCCATAGCCTCAGCTCTTTTATTCTGTTGGGAACCAAGGACACTGAAAAAGTGGGCTGGCTCCCAGGGTATGACCAGGTATAGGTCAGAGGGGAAAGCCCCAAGGTCCAAGTCTCACTCTCCTTTCCTGTGGCTTACCTGCCTGAAGCTTCTGGACCTGCCTAGTCTCTGGCTTCACTAATGGGGGTGGTGTTCCCACCAGCCTACTTCCCAGGAGAGCCAGAGTGTTAATTAACACTGCATCAGGCTTTGAAGATAAAATTATTTCGAGACAAGGGAGGAAGACAAACAAAATCAGATCTTCCTTGCTGGTTGAGGTTTGGGACTCATCTGGACCCAGCTGAATGTTTAGATGAAGTCTACAAATCATAGGCCTCTTTTTCCTCTAAGCCTCACAGGAACCAAGTCTTCCAAAGGGAAACTACCCTCCTCCCTCACATCCTTCCCACTATGGCAGTCACTGAAGTGGGACACTATATCCTCCTGCCTGGCCAACACCACTAGCCAGGGCTAGGCAGAAGGACAACAGTGGGCCTCAACCTGAGCATCCACCCCTGCACAGCACTGAGCCAGGCAGGCTCCACACCCAGGGCGACCAGTTACTCATGAGCTGTCCAACCACTGGAGGCATTCAGACCTACAGGGGCCCAGGCATAATATCTTCCCTGCTCCGTCTCCCATTGCTATTTTTAATCAAGATGTGAAATCAGGTTAAACTGAACATTATAGAGATACCCAAACAATATGGAGGTTAAAATCAATTCCCCCAGCTCTGCCTCAGGACCATGAGAGGAGACGAGGAAGGAAGACACGTGGGCCCTTGGACCCAGGCCCCTCTGTCTCGCCTGGGCAAGCTGGTGGGCGAGGTAAGTGGTCACGACGAAAGCCCATGCAGACCAGTGCTGCAGGATGTTAAAGTGTTACAGGTGGTAAAAGAGCCAAGTACCCCCATGTGGGGCTTCCTGAAATACCATTGACCTTCCCAATACTGTTGATTCATTCTCAGGAAGGACAGGATTTCCAGGAAAGGAAGAGGCGGCAAGTCAGGGTAAGGAATGGTGGAGACAGGCAGGGGAAGTGAGCAGGAGGGAGGCTTGCGCCAGCCCAGCTTCTGAGGTCCACAGCCTCAGTGGCTCGGTGGGGAGCACGAGCAGCACTGGCCCCATCTGTCTTAGGCAAACACTGAGGAAGAAAAGGAAACAAGGAGCTCTGGCTGCCAGTCTGGGTTACAGAGCAGCCAGAGTCTGTTTCCTTACACATGCAGACGGCTTCTACATCATGCTTTTCCCCAGAGTCGAATTATTTCTTCTCTCACTTCTCTTCCATAGGAAACCCTAAAAAAGTTTATAGGCAGGGGTTTCTGGTTATGCTCAGCTTTAGATCTGAATCCCAAAACTTATTCAAAGCTACCTCCTGAAGAATAAGCATTCAGAATCTGCGTTAAATGTGAGTATGTCACATACAAACACATACCTATGCACACACATTCATCACACACCAGAGCTCTGAACTGAAAAAGACGAGAAGTATCGACTATGTAAGCAATATCCGTGGCTGCCTGGTGCTAGAGAAACCCGGGGGCAGCCCCACCAGCAGGCGCAGGCCGTGCTGCTCCAAGAAGAAAGGAGAAGAAGGTGGCTTGCTGAAATATGAGCCTTGTTCAAGTGCCACAGAGCAAATAGGAATGAGAAGGGGGTAAGTGGAAAGCAAGGTGAAGAAGGATGAAGAGAGGGTCCTTGTGCCTGAGAATAAAGGAGAAAGCAGGCTGAGTGACATAAAGATGAGAACGAGGGGCTGAAAAGACATCTGGTACTGTCTTCCCTTAAGGGGAAATTTCAAAGCTGCTTCTTTGAGCTGATTCTTAGGAAGATAAAATTGGTGCTTTTTGTTATTGTTTTAAGGAAGAAATTAAGGGTATGGGACTGCAGAACTCACCACATTCTAATTTTTGGACTTTGATACCTGTTAATGGCCACACGCTCCATGGGGCTTCAGGAGTCCAACTCACAGAACATACTATAGGCAGGGGTTTCTGGTTATGCTCAGCTTTAGATCTGAATCCCAAAACTTATTCAAAGCTACCTCCTGAAGAATAAGCATTCAGAATCTGCGTTAAATGTGAGTATGTCACATACAAACACATACCTATGCACACACATTCATCACACACCAGAGCTCTGAACTGAAAAAGACGAGAAGTATCGACTATGTAAGCAATATCCGTGGCTGCCTGGTGCTAGAGAAACCCGGGGGCAGCCCCACCAGCAGGCGCAGGCCGTGCTGCTCCAAGAAGAAAGGAGAAGAAGGTGGCTTGCTGAAATATGAGCCTTGTTCAAGTGCCACAGAGCAAATAGGAATGAGAAGGGGGTAAGTGGAAAGCAAGGTGAAGAAGGATGAAGAGAGGGTCCTTGTGCCTGAGAATAAAGGAGAAAGCAGGCTGAGTGACATAAAGATGAGAGCGAGGGGCTGAAAAGACATCTGGTACTGTCTTCCCTTAAGGGGAAATTTCAAAGCTGCTTCTTTGAGCTGATTCTTAGGAAGATAAAATTGGTGCTTTTTGTTATTGTTTTAAGGAAGAAATTAAGGGTATGGGACTGCAGAACTCACCACATTCTAATTTTTGGACTTTGATACCTGTTAATGGCCACACGCTCCATGGGGCTTCAGGAGTCCAACTCACAGAACATACTGTGGAATCTAAATTGATTTCCAACAATAATCAAGTGAGCTCAATATTTAAAAGGCTTGGGGCACGTGTACAGATTAAACACCATTTTATGTGAAGTAATAATTCATCACAGTGGAAATTGAAGAAAGATTTGCTACCACCCCCAGTTGGTTCCTGCTGATCAGCGTGGAAAGAAATGATGAGAACTATTATGATTAAAAACAAAGACCTTAGATACACCACTTTGATAGCCAAATGCATGCGGAGTGCACAGAAAACCCACCTCACGGACAGGCCTTTACCCAAGAAGCCGCCACTGCAGCTCGAACTCAAAACAGAGCCTCTAATAAGTCCCCAGGATGGAGGGGCAGGAAGTGCAGCTTCTCCGGGGAAGCCACGAAAGAACTCAATGAATGATGTGGGAAACAAGACCATATTGCCACACACAGAGCCACAAAAACGACAAGGTGGAACTCACTAGGGGAAGGAACTCCTCCAGCCACGGGGTGGGACCATCCTTGAGTGCCTGCATGGTCCTGTTTTTGTTCAGTGTTTTGGTAGAGGGCAGACAGAGGCTGCCTGGCAAAGAAGTGGACCCTGGAATCACAAAACAGTTCTACTGAGTGACTTCCCAGCTGAGTGACTTTGAATAAGTTGTTCAGTCACTCTGACTCTCAGCTTCCCCAACTCTAAAAATGCCGACATAGGGTTCTGAGGATTAAATGAGATGATGTCAGTGCATACACAGGGCTGGCACACAATAAATACATGCCAAAATGGTAGCTATTATTATTTTTAGTTGTCAAAAAGATAAAAGGTGACACTGTTGCTTAAAAAAAGAAGAAAAGGAAAAAGACACAGAATTTGCCTGCCACTTCCTTTAGGACCTTCTAGCTTGTCTTCAGATGCCACAGGAAATAGTACCGTTGGGATGACATCTCTCCAAACCTAGAATTCTCTTCCCCGGATTAGACAAGGTGGTGATGATACTGGAGGAACCACACAGGCATTCCCCTAACGGCCACTGAGGTCCTTCTGAGAGGTGGCTTCTCCGGTGGCAATGCTCCCACAGGCCTGAAAGCACTTCTGGGAACACAGCACCTGACTTACACACAGCCCTGTAGGCCCAGGCCTCTTTTCTCCCTTACATCCACTCCACATTTCAGCCAGTCTGTCTATGGGAAAGCAGATCTGACCATGCCACCACTCCATGACCTTCAGAAAGGCAATCCCAGGCATTGGTTAAGAAGATGGGTTCTCAGGGTTTCACTGTCAGTTCTATCATTCACTACCTGTGAGATCTTGGGAAAGTTACTTAACCTCTTTGGACCCTGCTTTCATCAAAAAAGTAGGAATAATAATCCCAACCACATAAGGCTATTATAAAGTTTAACTAAGCTAATACATACAAAGTACCCAAGATACGTGCCTGGCATGTAGTAAGTACACAATAAATTCCAAGTGTATAATCACTGACTGTCATCTACCACTGACACCCACGAATGGTTTCTGACCCAGCTCTAC